CTGTCCATCCTCAGGGACTTCTGCAGGGTCATCAGTGAAGGCAAACTTGTCTGCTCTCAGGGGAGACTCCATCTGCTGGATGAACTTCAGGGTTCCATATTCACCCTCAACCCCCTGGCTGGTTGCTACTGACAACTCCTCAGCCTGACGTGGGGGGAGAGACGCTGATGTAGATGGTGCCGGGTCATCCATTACCTGAGGCTGCTGATCCACAGAGCTCGCTGATGTCTGGCTGGCAAATCTCCTCTCATTATCAAATTTTTCTTTAAACGCACCACTTCTTGTTTTCAGCTTTTCTAATAATAAAGATTGTTTCTTTACTTTCTCCTCCATGTGCTGGAGCTCTGGCTTCATGCCCAATCTGTTCTTGCTCGAGGCCTGGCAGTATTTGGCTCTGAAGGATTTGTGTTCCGATTTTAAAACATTAAGTTTCTCCTCAGCTCTTCCAATAGTCACAAATCTATCAACAATCTTCTGTCTGAAGACATCGACATCCTCACCAGGGCCGGGACCCACAGTCAGGTCCTCCACCTCCTCCTCTTCACTAGGCCCGGTCTCATCAGGGGAATCCCTCCCAGGGCCTCCCCCTGGATCAGGCATGGTTCCTGGGCCAAGCTAGCAGGCAAGGCCCAGGCTTGAAAATGCTGGTTCTCAGGGAGAGCTCCTTCAGTGTGTCCTCCTCCTTCTCCCACTGACCACCAATGTTTTCTTTCCACTGAACACCAGTGCAATGGAGCCCTTCACCCATCTACAACCAACATATTTGTAAAATATGAAAAGTATGGCACATTCTTTGTTCTTGTGTTTCATTCTTATGTCTACATGTAGTGCCCTCCTAGTTAGGCTGTTAGGCATATTAGTTTTTTTGAGCTTCCGCTGTAATCACAGAAGCATTAATTGTTGGTGTAGTCTGTTCAGGGTTTCACAGGCTGGGAGTTTGATTGCCTTACACTGCCTTCAGAAGACATTTCTAGAGTTTAGGGTGGCAGAATTCAAATGCCTGGCCTGAATATGTAATAGGGCCTAGCTAATCCGTGGTGAGGCGTGTCCCAAATGGTGGTGGGGCTACTTATAAATAGTCTGGATCTCTGGGAGAACTGTCTTTTTCTCCTCCTGTGGGGATGGATCCATGTGCTCAAGGGAAGGGGGACTGCTTTCCTTTCGACCTCCCTCCTTGGACTGGAAGCTTGGCTACTCTGCTGGACTGATCATTTCCAGGATCTGTGGGTAGAGACAAAGCCCTGGGATGCCGTGTCTGGTGGTTCCTCAGCTGCAAGAAGTTAGACCATTTCCGCCTATTTCTGCTAAACCTGTCCAGCAATCCCTCTGGATCTCAGCTGGAAGCAGATACAGTATTGCTGCTTAGAGATACTGGCGAGAAGAGTCTTCTGCAATTTATGTATTAAGCATTTTGGAGTATCCCAGACCCCACTGTCCTCCCAGGTTACCAGTTACCTAGCAATAAACCTCAAAGAGACACCCATGGACTGTTTATTGAGCCTGAATGGATGAGATACTGCTGTGTGCCTGGCTGCCTGCACTGATTATAGAAAGAACCTGTGCAAATCTACTGCGGCTCCTTCGGGGGTAGCGTTACACACAACTTTTTGCTCATACTAATGTACCTTGAGACATAATAAAACAATTATTATCAGGGGTTCCCTGAGACCTGAAAGGCACGTCAATGGTTTCTTCATGTTAAAAGGGTTAAGAAAAGTTAAATTAACGAAGCATTTTTTTTTTCAATATAATTTTTTTTAGATATGATTAAACTGGAAAAAATGTGTGACTCTTGGGGGAAAAGTAAACTGGTAATGTGTGTTATCCTGCGCTACCACCAAAGAAACTACCTCCCTTAAATAATAATAACAACACAACGGGGGCTGCAACCTAAAGACAGTGCTCCCACAATCCTCAATTTTCACTTTTGAATCATGTTTGAAAATGCTGATAAATAGAGCCGTAATTGGCCAAAAAGTATGTGGATTCCACTACAAATGATGGAGTCCAGGTGTCTCCAGTGAAGGGTCCTAGTAATACTACATCATACAAAGACATTTTAGATAACTGTGCTCTTCCAGCGGCGTGGTAACAGTTTGTAGTCGGCTCTTTTCTGTTCCACCACGACTGGGCCCCTGTGTACTAAGCCAGCTCCATAAAGACACAGTGTGACCAGTTTGGTGAGGAGGGACTCGAATTTCCTGCACAGAGCCCTGACCTCAACACTGCTGGACACCTTTGGGATGAACTAGAATGAGCCAGATCGTCTTAACCAACATCTCCATAAAGACATGGTGTGACCAGTTTGGAGTGGAGGAACTCGAATGTCCTGCACCTCAACACTACTGGACACCTTTGGGATGAACTAGAATGAGCCAGGTCTTCTTACAACCAACATCTCCATAAAGACATGGTGTGATTAATTTGGTGTGGAGGAACTCGAATGTCCTGCACCTCAACCCTACTGAACACCTTTGGGATGAACTAGAATGAGCCAGGTCTTCTTAACCAACATCTCCATAAAGACATGGTGTGACCAGTTTGGTGTGGAGGAACTCGAATGTCCTGCACCTCAACACTACTGGACACCTTTGGGATGAACTAGAATGAGCCAGGTCTTCTTAACCAACATCTCCATAAAGACATGGTGTGATCAATTTGCTGTGGAGTAACTCAGGTGTCCTGAGCCTGACCTCAATCCTACTGAACACCTTTGGGAGGAATTGGAATGTTGATTGTGAGTCAGGTCTTCCTATCCAACCTCAGTACCTGACTTCACAAATGGAAACAAATTCCCAGAGACATGCCAAAAACCTGGAAAGTTTTTCCAGAAGAGCGGAGGCTGTGAAGGAGGACAACTCAACTCTATACTAGTGCTCATGGCTCTGGAATGGGATGTGCAACAATCCAAATAGGTGTGATGGTCAGGGGTCTACAGACCTTTGGTCACACAGTGTACATAGTTCTGGGTTCTCTGTAAGGTTGGTAGGAGGCACAGTAAAGAGATGCCCGTAGCGAAAGGAAGGAAAAGAAAAATAGTGCAGGGCAGACATGACTAGGTTAAGAGGGGGTTAGTAAAGACAGGAAAGGGTTGAAAGGAAAAGGTGGGAGTTAGAATATGGGCAAGTTACCTGATTGATGACTGGGGGGTTTAGGGTGGGGTCTTCAACACCTTTGGGTGTGGATGGGGAGGGCCCTCAATTCAGTGCAGGAGGAGACAGCGGAGAGTGAGCTTCCCTCCCACCCTCCCTTGGGTTTATGTGGGTGTATTGTCACTCCCCAGGGTTTTTTGTTCGGGTTCTTTGGAGGAAGCACTTATTTTGAAGCTAGAGATAATGGTTGGGACCCATTGGTGGTATGCTGTGCTCGGGGGGCATTCCGGTTAACCGAGGTTTAACTTGAAGGTGGTGGTTCTGCACTGCGGATGGTATGTTTTGTCTCCAAGCCGGTGCGTTGCAGCTGGAGGCCTAGTTATAATATAGGTTCCGCAGGAGGCTATCGGTTTTGGTTTGGTGCCTTCAAAGACCAACAACTTCTCCTGTATGTTTCTGTTTTAAGGAATGTTTTGTGTATTGAAGTTGAAGTGTTAATAAAAGGCCGTATTGGCCATTTTACTCCCATCAGTGTTATAGTTTTCTTTAATGATATGTTAAAGGGGGTATGTGAGAGAATGAGATGGTGGTGTAGGGGGTCTTGACTAGCCTATCTCTTGTCCACTAGCAGGGGCGGACTGACAACTCATGGGGCCCCCGGGCAATAGGGGATCATGGGGCCCCTGTGTCCTTGCCCAAACTCAAAAAAAGCCTATGAAAAAGGTACCAGGGGCATCTCATGGGGCCCCTACTGACCCCGGGCCCTCGGGCAGTGCCCAAGTTTCCAAATGGTCAGTCCACCCATGTGCACTAGTCATGGGATTTTCTGTTGCAGGGGCATAAAAATGTATTTTATATGCCCAATGGGCGCTTTAAGATTGAGAAGCCTGCACATCAGATGAAATCTCGAATCAGGCTAGCAGGGTTTATAGCAGCTCTAACTGCTTAAATGTGCCCAACATTTTATCTACAGCTCTGACAGCGTCATGTTTCATGTCATATGTCTAGTGGAAACCTCACACTCAGAGGTGTGTTTTGATACAACAAAAAAAAATTGTAATCTTCAGAAAATGTTGTCTCGCTCTTAGACTATAGCTGGAGGATACTGATAGAACAAATCCTTACCATAGAGAGATTGTAGAGGCCGGAACAGAAGATCATTAAGTATAGTCAGGCGAAGACACAAAATGTTACAATGTTTCCGATGTGATCACAACTAATTTCACTACACATGTTTCGTGGATTATCAGCTCCTCCAAGGCCCTGACAATATTTTATCACCCTGTCCGGGTTTAGCAGGGGGTTCCCTTACCGTATATCAGCTAAAGTTCTGGAAGTGATTAAACTTTCTCCTGGCAGACGGTTCCTGGAAAAGTCTTTTATATTAATGACATGACAAAGGAGAAGCATTTAGAGAGCTCTGCCTTATCTGTTATTAGAGGATTGAACTCATTGATGTTGGATTTCGGATGAAGCCTGGAAATATATTGTGGCTTGAGGAGTGACGGCAAAGCGGACCAGAAAACTGAATTACCAAGGGAGTTCTGGGTGTTGGCAGGAGGGGAGGTGATTACTGTTTAGTTACAATGTGTTGAGAGTTTATAGGTAAAAGTCTAAGCCCAACTAAATTGTTAAATATAAGGAGTTGGGCTTTAACCACTTCCAGTCCGGACACTTTCACCCAGGGGCGGACTGACCACTTAGCCACTCGGGCACTGCCTGAGGGCCCGGGGTCAGTAGGGGGCCCTATGAGATGCCCCTGGTACATTTTATGGGCTTTTTTGGGTGTGGTTTGAGTGTGGGTGAGGACACAGGGGGCGCCATGACATCCTATTGCTCGGGGGCCCCATGAGTTGTCAGTCCGGACACTTTCCCCCCCTTCCAGTCCGGACACTTTCACCCCCTTCCAGTCCGGACACTTTCACCCCCTTCCAGTCCGGACACTTTCCCCCCCTTCCAGTCCGGACACTTTCACCCCCTTCCAGTCCGGACACTTTCACCCCTTCCAGTCCGGACACTTTCACCCCCTTCCAGTCCGGACACTTTCACCCCCTTCCAGTCCGGACACTTTCACCCCCTTCCAGTCCGGACACTTTCACCCCTTCCAGTCCGGACACTTTCACCCCCTTCCAGTCCGGACACTTTCCCCTCCTTCCAGTCCGGACACTTTCACCCCTTCCAGTCCGGACACTTTCCCCTCCTTCCAGTCCGGACAGTTTCCCCCCCTTCCAGTCCGGACACTTTCACCCCCTTCCAGTCCGGACACTTTCACCCCCTTCAAGTCCGGACACTTTCACCCCCTTCCAGTCCGGACACTTTCCCCCCCCTTCCAGTCCGGACACTTTTACCCCCTTCCAGTCCGGACACTTTCACCCTCTTCCAGTCCGGACACTTTCACCCCCTTCCAGTCCGGACACTTTCCCCCCTTCCAGTCCGGACACTTTCCCCCCTTCCTGTCCGGACACTTTCCCCCCTTCCAGTCCGGACACTCCCCCCCCCCCCCCTTCCAGTCCGGACACTTTCACCCCCTTCCAGTCCGGACACTTTCACTCCCTTCCTGTCCAGGCCAATTTTCAGCTTTCAGCACTATCACACTTTGAATAACAATTGCGCGGTCATGCAACACTGTATCCATATGAATTTTTTAGCATTTCTTTGAGACAGATAAAACTTTATGTTGGTGGTATTTATTCACCACTGGGATTTTTATTTTTTTTTTGCTATATAAATGAAAAAAAGTCAAAAAATTTGGAAAAATAAGTGTTTTTCTTATAACATTTTGCAAATAAATAATCTTTCTTCATAAATCTTGGCCAAAATGTATTCAGCTATCTTTTTAGTAAAAAAAAAAACAAAAACCCAAATTAGTTTTATAACCAAAAATTATAATTGAAAACATTTTTTTTACATTTGTATTTTATTTTTTATATTATTATATTTTTTTTAACATACCGTCACCCTAGCAGTACAGTGTCACCATGATGACACTGTACTACTTGTGGGGGGTGATGAAGAATTTTTTTTTTTTTTTTTTACACTGATTGATTTTACAATCATAAAGGCTGTAAAAACAATCATTTCTCCTGCTCTCTGGCTGCATTTTTGCAGCCATTGAGAAATGCTGTGTGAGCTATTATTGGTCACAGTTTGTCACATGGTACAAGGCTGTTGTGAATAGCCCTGTACCATGTGACCTCTGTGATCATTCACAGATTTCAGTACTAGTAAGCAATGATGTCAGAAGTGACATCTTGCTTACTACTCTTCATGTGATCACTGATTGGCCAATCAGTGATCACATGATCTGGACCTCACACAGAGGTCCTGTACAATGATTGCGGAGCACCAGAGCGCGGTGCTGCGTACTCCCAGGGAGCGCGCACAAGCAGGAAATTTGGGTGGACGTTTATAAACGGCCACCCGCCCACTTGGTGATGGAAGGCTTGGATGCAGCTGCTCGGCCATGGAAACCCATAAACACCTGGAAGTGTTACACGGACACATTTCTTGTCATGCTGCACTTACTTTTAAAACATATCTGAGAACAGGTCCACATTAGTCAAACATTCTCTCAATCAATATTGATTATTTTTAATCCTTATGCTGCTAGCATTAATAAATCGAAAAAAAAGTATATCATTTTTTTGTGTTTAAAACTTTTTTTCGTTTACATTTCTTCAGTTGCTTCCTGGTTTCCATGCCTAGGCAAATTATGTCATACATCCCAGGAGTCTTCAGGAGGGGAGGAGGGGTTTTCTCAACTAAGCAGACCCTGCTGCCTGAGCTAAGGGCAGATGGATTACAGGAATTAAAGCAGAGCTCCACCCAAAAGGGGAAGTTCCGCTTTAAGGACTGCTCCTCCGCTCCCCATTAAGGATCGGCACCTTTGGGGGGGGGAGCGGGTACCCGAATTTGACAGGCACCGGCTCCCAATTCCGGTCAGATCGCCTAGGCGATCAGAAATGGAAGGTGTCCTTCCTCCTTCCCTCCCTGTAGTTTTTTGGGACACGTGACAGGTCCCAGAACACTACAGGACCATTCATGAAGCGCAGCGCTACTCACGCATGCGCAGTGGGCACCCAGCTGTGAAACCGCAAGCAGTCCCAGCCGGTTGCCCACACTGAAGATGCCGGCCTCCTGGAATACAGGACGGCCGGTGAAACGGGCTGCGGGGACACACACCATGGGACCAAGGGCAGGAAAGTGGCTGTTTTTTTAAAAGTCAGCAGCTACAGTTTTTGTAGATGCTGACTTTTATTTTGTGCCAGGATGAGTGGAACTCCGCTTTAACTGCTACACGAATCATCTGCCCTTACTCAAGATGGCCACGGCCAAAAATGCTAGAAGGTGTTTTTCTGAGTGCTTTCACAGCAAAGTAAAGCATGGAGACCAGGGGCGGACTGACCATTCAAGCACTTGGGCACTGCCAGAGGGCTCGGGGTCAGTAGGGGGCCCTATGAGATGCCCCTGGTACCTTTCATAGGCTTTTTTTGGTGTGGTTATAGTGTGGGTTAGGACATAAGGGCCCCATGATCCCCTATTGCCCGGGGGCCCCATGAGTTGTCAGTCCGCCCCTGACGGAGACATGGATGGATGGGGGGAGTTTGAATTTATAAAACAAATGAAATCGCGTTTTTGGTTTTGTGCCGCTCAGATGCAGTGTAGTTCCACTTCAAACATTTTGATACTAATGTGATGAGCTTACAGAGGTGTTTTACTTAAAGCATCAAACTTAATTTTTCTTTTGCGCTTTATCTGTGATGCTGCATTGCTGTAGCTTTGGTCATAGTGTACGTTTAGCTTGGTGCAGTCACCCTACAATAGGTACAGTAAACATGTGCCCTCGGTGTCTCTCCATTACTATGACGGACAGTTGAGTCTGTGATTCTTCATCGTCCTCCTTCTTTTAGCAGGAAATAGTAGTGTGGCCCCTCTAGTACTCTCTTCAGTTATCATGCTGTTATCACCGGCTTCTGTGGATTGAGATGTTGAGTCACGGCCAACTATCATTATAGACAGGAGGATCATATTAGTTGGCCTTGCCTCGCTCTTGTTGTCTATTGACGTTGCACAGCTGGGTCACGGTCCCTTCATGTGTCTCGGTGCTTCACACCAGACAGATCCTCGCAGTCTGTCAGTCGGTGGGTTAAGAGTCACTTCGGATATCAATATGGACTATAGGAGCAGATGTTACACTATAATCTGAGAACATCTGGCGGCTCTCCACGCCTCCAACCACCGAGCTGAACGGCGCACAGGAGTGAGGTAATGGGAGAGGTTTGATTGGAGCAGACCATTGGAAGCATGCTGAGATACACCCCAAACAGATTGCACTCCCGAGGCTCCTGGTGCCTTTCTGACCCCCCCACTCCCCACGATCCCACCAGTCACAGGCCTGGGCGGAGGAGGATGAGCGCAGGATTGTCGCTCCTCTCCAGAAGTTTGCTGACCTTACTTTTTTGTCTACAGGATGAATTGTAAACACATGATGGAAAGTCCATCCAATGCTGCAGATTCCATCCTGAGGGACCAGTCAAGAAAAGAGGAGCGGGGAACCCAGTCATTACTGCTCCAATCTGCTCCACATGATTGCCAGGTCTTCTACTGTTCAGAGGCAGCTGCAGTTTTTACTCTTTTGTCTTGGAGGCATTTTAGTAAAGGAACAATAAAGGTCATTTGTCCAGGATGAGGGATCCTCCAGGCAACTTGGCAGAACTGAGTTTGGAGCATTAGGCTGCACTTGCATGGATATGTAGGACTAAGTTCTTTATTTCCACAGACATGCACTGACTTTTGACACCTGTCTGTGGCCATTAGTGCAACTGCAGGACTCATCGGAAAGCTCATGTCTTCAGTCATTAGGTTATTGAGAATCTATGAGGGTAGTCACTCTCTGTTATTGAAGATCACCCGATCTTCCTTGTTCATAGGTTCCTTAAAATGTTGAGCATTGAGACCTCCAAGCAATGTTCACCAGCAGCAGCTTTTCTCATGCTCTCCAGGTCACTCTTCCGTGCAGGTAGCCATCTTCCTTCTTTAGTTCTTGACTAGTGCACCCGAGATAGGTTCATCCAGACCCCACTACACCACCGTTACCCTTTACCCTTCCATACCAAGCCCCTTTACTTACTATACTTACAGAAAACACAACACCAATTTTGGAGTTAAATGGCCAGCACGGCCTTTTATTAACAAATCAAGTTTAAACACATCAACCATTCCTTATAACAGAAAACATAAACAGTTGTCGTTGGTCTTTGAAGGCACCCCCAAAACGATCTGAAATGCACCTGCGGACAACCATATTCCATTAGGCCTCCAGCCGCAACCAACCAGCTCGGAGACAACCATACCGTCCGCAGTGCAGCACCACCACCTTCCAGTTAAACCTTGGTTAACTGGAATGTTCCCGGGCACACCATACCAACGATGGGTCCCACACCATTTTGTACCTCCAAGATAAGAACCGCCTCCAAACACCAACCACTGCCCAGGAACCAAAATAACCCCCCCCAGGAGGAACACAACATTCACCAAACAGGGAGGGTGGGAGGGAAGCTCTCTCTCCCACGTCCAGCTCCCAAGTGACGCCCCTCCCCAGAACACCCCACCCTAAAGTGCAGGAGACCCCACCTACACTCTCCTCTACCAACCAGATCCCCCAGCTATCCTTTACCAACTCTAATACGATCATTAACCCTTACACGTCTTCCTTCCCACTCTGGGCCTAGTCATGCCTGCCCTGCGCTAATTCTTTTCTTCTTTTATCGCTGCGGGCATTTCTTTCTAGGTGTACCTTTCAGCAAGGCAACATGGATTCCTTAGGCCATGTGGGGCAACACCTAAGAAAAGACCTTCTCACCAAGACATCCTCAACAGGCAAAGCCCCAGGAGGTCAGGGACCCTTCTTCTCCCTTCAGCCCATACCACTGGAAAAAAATCCCAGTGGTTGGCTAAGGCAGGTCAATATTCATAACTTGTTACATTGTTATGTAAAACATTAACTACCTGAAGACGACTCAACAGCAGCGGGCAGAAATAATCAATGTTCTGCAAACAATACTAAGGGTAGCTAAAGACACTAAAGTGACACTAAACTCTGTTCTTTTTAAAAATTCTATTCAAGTGTGTATTCTTCAATCAAAATATACCTTCTATTACTCTCAGCCCCTCAACATCTTGAAATTTCTTTTTTTCTGTTTCTTAGACAATGCCTATATTTTTGCTCCATGGTCCTACTGTATCACTGTATGTAGGAACGTAGCAACCCTCTCTTGCTCGCTCCCGGAATTGGACTATGGATGATGGGATTTGTAGTATGCATAGAGCAGTGCGTATGACTGCAACTCATTCCAAACAAACAGAAGCGAGGGGTAGAGGAGAAGTTGGGAGCC